CTGTGCGTTCCCCTTTTTCCTTTTTCGGTTTTTCCGTTTTTTCCCCCCCGTTTCGTCGATTCCACCGACGATTGCATCGGCGGCACGAGGTTTTAATTTCACCCCTGTCGCTCGCGTCGGACTGGCGTACCTGGCTTAAAATTCTACTAATAGTCGCCACTTGGCAGTCGCTATTATCGCTCGGACACACTCCGAAATAGCTCTGGCTGCCACATCGATGTCAAAGATTGATCGCAGCGGACTGCGACATTCTCGTGGAACGTGGACGCATCGATAAACGCGATCGCTGCCACGTCGGGGAACCTCGGATCACGGATCGCGTTCGAAAAATTCGCGTGTATCTCGGTTGGATTCGGTCCGGAGGAAGAAAATCGGGATGTCTATTTATACGAGATAGCGATCTACGACGGCGGGTTAAACGTTTGGCGCGAAAGGTTCGGGCAAACAGCCGGTGAATTTCCTCGGTATATGTATCGGGGAGAAAAAATGCCGAGCTATTAGCCGCGCCAAGGTATACTTTGCTCTTTTCATGCATGGGCCTCCTAGCCACCAACGACAACGCGACCCCGTAGAGTGTTGGTCGAGCCCTCGACTTTGTATGCACGGAAAGCCGCTTTACGACGTCAACGAAGGGGACACGCGCGCTTCGGTTGGATACCAGCCATGATAATATGTAATGCCTGTATAGAGCCAAGTGCTCGATCGCGAATCTTTGAAGTTCGAACTGGCTTTCCGCCGACAAACCCGAGCCGCTGCGATCGAGTACTAAAAATCATCGGGTAAAACTATGAGAAAGCCAAACACACGACTCGGGTACGCTGGTACTCTCGCGACCGCATCGGCTGCCAAGCAGTCCTTATATTCCTTCTTTCCTCCTTTTTTCTTTTTCTTCCCTTTTTTACCCTCCTTCCTTCCTTCCTTCCTTCCTTCCTTCCTTCCTTCCTTCTTGCCCCCTCCTTTTTTCGGTACGCGAAACGAGCAGTATATACGGGCGAGCACCTGTGGCCACTTTAAACGATGCCGTGGTAAACGGTAGTCAGGATAGATTGAACGGTCCGATAGGGTTTTAGCTCTCTTCTTTTGCCGTGAGGATCGGGACTCGCGCTTTAACCCCTCGACTCATTAGAGCCCATAACTCTGTTCAGCGAAACGTTTTACGTTGGCTGCCGTGTGGTACGTAGCCACCGAAAGGAAGCTCGCCGCATTATACCGTATTTTAGCGTGCGACGCGTATCTCTCATGTTTCGAACGAAATTTATTCCTCGGACGTGGAGTCACGGACTCGTTAGCGGTGTACATTAATCGCGATAACTGTTTCAAAACTGATTCAGGTACCCCGATGGTATAATGCAGCGTATAATACCGTAATAATTGTACGGAATCGACCACGACGGACGTGACGTTCGACCAGGGGCGCCGCATCTTTTTTCCACCGCGATATCCACCGCCGTTGGTTTTTAGGGCTATCGAAACGACGCGACGCGGCCACCAGCTACTACTCGGCTAGAAACGCGTCCGCTTTGTTCCGTGTTATTGCCGTTTTTCCCGCGGACCTCCCACTGTCCTTCTAACGAGACCACCGAAGGTACGCCGGCTAAAAAGCCCGCAAGAAACTCACCAAAGTACGCTCTTTATACGGCGTGTTTTATATCGCAGCCAATTCGAGTGAGTGCAGTCGCTCCAATTATGGGCGAATAATATAAGTCGCTGCACGAGGATACGCGCTACCATCGCGATCCTTTATATGGCAAAAACGATAGAGAGCGCGAAGTCCGTCATCGGGCTTCGAATTTACTGTTACGCGTCGCCGCTGCTTGCCATCCGTGGCAGAGAGGATCGCATGATCTAGATGCCGTTTTTCCTTTTCTTTTTTTCCTCTCCCTGTAACGCGCTCGCATTTGCGCCTCCGCGTCGCGTTATCGCGTTCCCCGATGCGTGCGTGCGTGCGTGCGTACGCGCGAGTAACTCGCGACCTTAGCCGAGAATCCCTTGGCAAAAACCGAGCCGGCGCTAATGCTCCCGTTCCACCCTGTTCTCCATCGCCGCGGCATGCATTCCGGTAAACCACAACGGGAAGAGAATTTTATTCGAAAATCGAGGTAAAAGCCGGGAAACGTAGCCGCTTTATCGCGGATGTTGCTTCGCGAATAGGCTCGATTATGCGAATAGTCGGATCGGGTGTAACACGAACGTACTACACCCGTTCCGCAATTTGTTTTTGTTCCGTGGAAACCGGCCGGGTATAGGGTGTACGATTTGTAAATGGAGCGAGGTTGTAGAAAATACAATAGCTCGTTACCGAACTATGATTCTATTCGTCGGGATACGGTTTACCGGAATTCGGCACGTGTTGCCCCGTTCATCGCCGGGGGAGGATGGGGGAAAAAAATTGGCAGGGGGTTCGAAGGCGGAGATTGTTTGTTTCGTAAACGTTTTGGCCGAACGCGAAAGAAGTTGGCGGAAGGCATACAGGTTACATAATGAATTCTTGTACGCGCTCGGATAAGCGTGTAGAATAAAAAAGCATTCCTCTGTTGCATTGTCCGGGAATTAATTAAAATGGCGCGAGAACAAACGGCCGGAGAGAATTAGAGGGTGGGAGGGAGAGGGAGGGGGAGGGAAGAAAAGAAGCTCGCGGTTCTCGTCGGAATCCCAGCGGCGACATATCACTGGGCGGTAGATCACACGAACTCTTTCGCAGTTTGCACCGGACGGATAAAGCGCTGCAGCGGCTGCAGGCTCGCGCATCTTTTACGTATGCACGAGCATAAGCATAACGCAGGGGAACATGGGTAGATGATATCGTGGATGCACCTACGGGGCCACGGGGCGTCGACGCGATTCCTTTGTCCTCGTTCTTGGCCGCTCGTTCTTCTTGCTGCAACCGCCTCGCCCCCGGACGACCTCTTGGTGCACACACACATTTTGTTCGCGGAAATACCACGGCCAATCTCGTGCATCAATCCTGCCGGGTTTAGAATCGTATCAAAGAACACGCTGCGTGCCGGCTACCGCGGTCCCGGAGATTACCATCTCATCTCCGCGAGATGCCTGATACTGTTATTCCGCGTCGCCACGATTCCTTTCTTTTCCCCCCTTTTACCTGCGCGGACACAAATCCGTATCCTCGCGGTTGTAATTATTTTAATCGTGCCGATCTCTGATCGCCACGACCCTTGTAAACGGTGTTACAAAATACGCTTAATGCGCATTCGCGGCCGCGTTTAACAGCGTCGTCGGCCATTTCGCTGCCGCGATCGCGCGGCCATTAACAATGCCGAAAAATTATTTCGCCCGCGAAACGGTTCTCCGTTCCGAGCTCTCAAGAGGGAGAGAAAGAGAGAGAGAGAGAGGGCTGGATCGTTACTCGTCGTTTCGTTAGAATATCGCCGATAAAAGGGCTTTAATTACAAAGCCACCACGACCACGCTTCCTGTCATGCGGACACGCATGTGCGTGCCGCGAGTACACTCGTCCCTCCTCGGCCTGCCAGTCTTTTGTACCTCGTGTATATATGTATTTCTGCACACGCTCGCCGATTAGTAAGACCATTTTCTTCATTACGAAACATTGTTGCGAAGAGCCATTCTCATTATGGTTACCCGATTATCTGGGTGATCTTGTTCGAGGCTGCAAGTATTATGCAAATCATAGACTTTCTTCTTTACCCCGTGTATCCGCGCGTCGCGCATACCACGCCGATTAAATCGACGCGATTAAGATGTTTGACTATCCAATCTTGTCTGGAATTAACCAACTTTCTCGCTGATCCTATCGCGGCCTGTCCTTTTTCATATCTCATTCCCCACGCGGCAAAAACCGGGAATGCGTGTTACGTTTATGTCGAATAACGCGCGCGTGAAATCGAGAACGCGGGATTTCTAGCAGAGCCCCGGCTACCGATCCCCCGACAACGCGCTCGTGTAGCTAACAAACAGCTCGCAACTGTTTCGAATATGCCGGTATTTATCCGCGTCACCCGGTTAATCGACGGCTGAAAACGCGCGAATTCTCAGACACCCGTTTCGGATGGTTATAAAATCAACGGAGCTGTTCGACTCGAGCTCGTAAACGGATCATACGGCGTGATAAAAGTCGGAATCAATCATTTTATCGGCCATTGTTGATGCGTGTGGCAGCACTTAAATCGCCGTGTTTAAAGCTCCATCTACCTATGCACGGTTATTCGCATTAGTTTGTGCGACGGGTTCGTCGGCCGGATGTTTGCAGCGATGGAATATAACGCGTCGGACTGCTAAAAGGTTTTACGAATCGTCTATTTGCGCGGGCAGAATCAAATATCTAGTTCCATCGTCGGTTAATACGTTTGGCTGTGAAGTGAAAAATCGGTTTTCGCGATGGTCGCCGTTCTCCTTTTTTTTCCTCCGCGCCTGTTTTTTCTTCTCTTTTTTTTCTCTCTCTCACTTTTTTTCTCTACGTGTATCGCGACGTGAGATGCGAGCTAGCAGCTGGGATCGCGCGTTACATATTCCATCGCGTCCTACACAATTATAATGCAATTAAATTGACTCGTATTATGCGTTATGCATGAGGAGCAACGATTGCACTCGTTACTAATGATGTTAACAATTTTTTTTGCGGTGCAATATGATTACAGCTCGTTAGTACATTATTAAAGAAAGAAATTACACGTTGAGTTCGTGTATGCATTTTCACGCATACGTAATTTTTATTTGCATTTCGAAGTAGCAATTAGACATCGTTCACTTGTTCCGATGACTTATAATGCGACGAAAGATTTTCATAATACTATCGCGTACAGTGTATTAATATGCAACGAGCACATAGCAGTTAAGTAGCTATATCGAATTTAGAAAAACGTTATACGCTAGCCGCGTACGTTTAATACAGTCGTGGTTTAATTTTAGTTCGCTCGGTGAATTCGTTATACGTACCGTGCGACACAGCGGTCGTTTTTATCGACAGTGCGGCGAGCAGTGGCGACGGGCGGCGCTGCTGTGCCGGCCAGTAGTGACAACATGGCGACGCCCAGTGAGCTGTCTCTCGAGGAGATTCGCAAGTATTTATTGGAAAACGGTGGTACGGCTCGCAATCACGACGTGGTGAAGCACTTCAAGAGATTCCTAACGGATCCGGAAACACGAGGTACGTTCGGAATACGACGCACGGCGTAGTCGAATGGCTGTCTCGTTTTCGCAAGGTGTGACCTCGATGTTACACGGTGCGCTGTGTGTAAACACGAGACAGACGTTAATATTCGTCGCACTCGACGTTAAATCTAACGACAGCTGGTGAATATTGTGCAAATTTACGTTCCAGTCGAGGCACGAAATCGGTTCAAGGAGTACGTAAACACCCTGGCTGCTATAAAGAACGAAGAGGTGCGTCATCGAGTAGCAATTTCCTTCCGCCTTGACAGGAGCGACTTGTTGCGCGTTTTGCGACGTTGCCGCTTTTTCCGACGTCTCGCGCGATTGATAGAAACGCGACGTTACCTACTAAACCATATTTTTACAACTTTTTTTTATTCCTACTTTATCGAACGTTCCATGTCGCGCGTTTCGTTCTAAAACGTACGATATATTTCGTTAGTTTACGTAATATTTACGATTGTTCGAAACATAACCGTTCTTGAATTGCTCGAATCTTTTTTTCCCGTTTTTTTCCTACATTTGAATACGAGTCTGTTCGCGAAAGAGAGCGAGAGAGAGAGAGAGAGAGAGAGAGAGAGAGAGAGAAGAAGAAACGAATAAACAAACAAAACTGTTGGTGCAGGGAGAAAAATATTTGGTTCTGAAGAAGAAGTATCGTCAAAACCTCGTGGAACTGTCGACTCCGGAGCAGTGCTCGTCACCGATCGGCACTCCCGACATATCTACCCCGGTTTCTCCTTTACGAGTTCCACCACCTTACCGACCACCGCCTCCCGCGCCCCTCAGCCCGCCGGCGAATAACACAAACACTCACCGCGAGGAGTCGTGTTCGAATTTCGTCCGCGAGGAGGCCGCTATCAATGCGCGGAAAAATGGCGTTGATCGTGTCGAGACCGGATTTTCAACGTCGTCTCCTCCTGTACCGCCACGCCGTAAAAGTCAAGATAAGATCAAGATCGAGAATAAGGAGAACGTGGACAGGAATAGGGGAGGATCGGAGGCAGTTATCAAGGTCAGTCTTTTCCGCATACAAGCGCGATGAAAAAAAGTACGTGAAATTTTATCCAGGGTACAAGGATGTAGGATGAGGAGAGAGGTTGTTAAGTATATGGGCGTTAATTAAAAGAATATCGAGTTTTTCGTGTCCCGGCTAAGATTCCTTTATAATAAGGCAGTCATACGCGGGACGAGGGACAGGCGTTTGATAAAATTTCACGTCTTTTTCCTCCGCACACATGCACGCCGCGTAATACGTTGTTCATAGTGTCCCGGTGTGGTCATATATGTATGTAAATAAGTGTGCAAGCGATAAAATGGTTGAACACGTTTTCGCTTTATCGGGTAATTACCGAGACCAGATAATTTGGGTATTATTGAGCAATAGTGTTGCGTGTACATGGTTTGGTTATGTAGAAAGGTGTTCATGGTTACAGTAAATGTCACTTATGCAGTATGATAGCGAACGCAGTACACGCTACATCGGTGTCCCTCATCCTGCACCGAAAGCTTAACGTCCTCTCATAACGATATCGGCATTCGCGTCACGCGTGCCGATCAAGCCTTATTTTCACGACTCCGTTCCGTCGTTCACAGTCATTTGGCATGCTTAAACACCACGTGTACGTAGTATTGTCTCGCTTTAATTAGTGTGGTAGCATGATAGTATGGCATAGATAAGCACTTCTTCCCGGTGTGTATCAGCCGTGTCGAGTGCCCATATATTTCGCACACGGTTTATGTCACCCTCTCTCTCTCTCTCTCTCTCTCTCTCTTTCTCTCTCTATCTCTTTCTGTTGCTCTGTTGCTCTGTCTCGTTGTTGGTTCCGCCTTTTATCAGTAGTAGTTGGACGCAGCGTAGCGCGTCGCTATCCTCCGAGACTTGACAATTCGAGATATTAAACGTGCAGGAAGATGAGGCTGTCGCGACGAATCCGGGCTCAACCGAGCAATTAAGCTTCCGCGAGCGGATGCAACGTTTCAACCGGATGGCTAGCGAAACCGATCTCCAAGGCAGGCCTAACGGCACTATCACACCTACTAAAAAGCGATCTGACAAGGTAACCGATAATCTTCTAATCATTTTTTCTTCTCTTTTTCACCCTAAAACGATTACAGCCGCTCATCCGAGCGTTATATCGAAGCGTTAGATCCACGACGTCGATCCTCTCTCGCATCGTGGATCGCCGTTGCGGCGCGGAAGTCGCCGCGATTATTTTGTCGTTCGTCCAGCCTGTGTTCTATCCTGCAGCTATTCGGTTCATTGACTAACAAATCGCGCGAGGCATTCCATCGCAGCTTCGCGATGCACGCGCAGCGAGCTCGCGAGGTGCGCCCGGGCGTATAACTGCCTAATCGGGATCGGTAATCGGTGCGCGGTGGTTCGGTTCGGAAATAACGGAACCATACTCGCGATTAGGGGAATGCGGACCGGGGTACGGATAAACCGGGCGTGGAAAGTGGCGCGTGGTCCGAGGAAAAAGTAGAAAGCACAGGAACAACGGGAGAGACGCGCGCGTGTAATCGCGGGAATAATGGGTATCGATGCCTATTATTAATGCCGTAACGCGTACCCGGGGCGTTCGTGGCTAATTATTCGACGATACCGCTCGTACGCGTTCGAGTTACGCTTCGGTATAGTTATTAAACCGTACAAACGGCGTAATCGTGCGGCTAATGCTCTGACATATTCCTCGTCCCGTATAAGATATCGACAAATTACTTTGCTCTAACAGAAAGCTTATACTATCTCGCTGTGATCTTCACGCGGATGTAATTCATGTGAGAACACGTATCAAGCAGCTCCCCTGTTATAAATAAGTATCTTTTATTTCCTCGAGATAAGATCGGTTAATAACACGAGGCGTTTTTAAGCGTTTCGCCTTCAAATCATAACTACCCATCTGCGAGCGTTTCACGTTTGACACTGAATTATCGGGGTGTAAAAAGCGAAGGAATCGAGACGACCGTGGTGGACAGCCGGCTCTCGATATATCGAATAATCCACACGCAAGGATACGCGTCCTTTTTTATTCTATCCTCTCTCCCCGCCGGCCTTTTTTTCCTCCTTTTTGGCGAAGAAGGGACGCGGTGCGTACAGGTCTGACTGCTCATCTTGCATACCGAATAGACTACTAAGAATCCTTTTCTCGTATCCTTTACACGCGCGCCTCCCGCCAGTCAGCTCCTCTGCATCCTTCTCCTTCTGCCCTCCCGCCGTTCCTCCCCTCTCGCTCTCTCTTTCCTTACTCTTTCTCATCTCGTCTGTCGCTGTTCGTGCGCCGTTTATCGCGGCGAGCAATATTCATCGCATTTGAATATCCTGCGGGCGGTATCTCGCGTACCGATCAGGATGTTGCGTCGATGTTGCCGTAAATCATAATTAGCCGCGCCTGAAAATTAAAAGTGGAGGAGGCAGACGCCGCGGGAACGAGAGGATCCTTTCCGCCGCGGCCGCAAAGCTTGCACGATCACCACCGCTCGTCCTTTACGCGCTCGATTCTCCATCATAATTTCGATATGTTTATCGTGCCGAACGATTAAAAGGACCGGCCACGTGGAACCCTCCGCGGCAGTCGGAAGGAACCGGGCCCCTGTTCCCTCTGCGCTCCAACCACTATACTTCGCGATCCAACCGTATATGCGCTAAGTACCCCGCTGCATTTACATATTCTCGACAATTTTCCTATTCGTTGCGTTATCCTCGTCCATCTTCGAACAATAGAATATCGTCTGCGTGACCTACGATAACCCCCTCCTGCTATCTAGATCGTTCGTCCTTTCAGAGGAACGGGGTTGAAGGAAAAAGGGGGAGAAGAAAGAGGAGAAAAATGGGAAAAAATGGCCGGGTCGGAGGAGAAAGATTATTCGATATCTCGCGCGTGTAAGCGATGTAAAGTTAACCGGAAATACGAATCGCTTAGAGCCCCGGCATTCGTCTATGTTCCGTTCGCCGCAAAGGAGCTCATGGGTGGCGCGTGGGCCCAACGATAATTATTTATTATTCAGCCGTCATCATCTATTTGTGGCGGCCCGTCTTTCATGTACGAATCCAACCGGCCGGTTGTTAATTTTTATTAGTCGTGAGCGTGGATAGGGTTTCGGGACATGCCGAGAGAATCCTCTCGCCTCCGGACATCCTGTAATCTCTTGGGAGCTCTCTCTCTCTCTCCCCCTCTCTCTCTTTCTCTCTCTCTCTCTCTCTCTCTCTCTCTCTCTCTCTCTCTCTCGGCAGGCAAGGCGTCCGCCCGGTCGGAGCTTTCTTTGCTGTAATTATCATGCAGCATGGCCACAGTATTCCGCCCTTCGCATCCCTAATGAGCCCTTCGTCTAGCGTTGTGTCGCGTGCCGCGTCGTTTGCCAACCGGTCGTCGCATCAACACGTTTCACGTAATTTTCCGTCGTGCTTTCTTCGAAAGCCTCGTTATGGGTCATTGAATGCAGCCGTGGCTACGTGTCGACGAATGATTATAGTACCGTGACGCCGACGATTAGGGGCCCTGGGAATCGTGATCGAGAGAGTTCTCGCATGTTTGGCAATACGTCTTTAACCGGGTATCACTAATATCTTTAATATCTTTAATATCTTCTGCCTTCTATTCAGATTAGATTAGATTACACCTTTCTTTATCGTTTCTCAGTCGAATAGCGAGAAATTCCTTTCCCGTTCGCCATGTCATCGTCTAAATATACCGTACAATTTCGTAACCTTGCTGCAAATTACAATCGTATAAAACTCTCTCACGGAAAACAAACGACTATGAATTTTACGGTAATAAATACAAATTTGAACACTTTTTAAATACATTCGTTTAATCCGAGGACTGGGTTAACGCTTTGACTGCCAGGTTGGTTATGGTTTCTCCTGTGACGTCATGGTGGTCATTGCTGACCGGAACACTTGAACTACTGACAGTTGTAAAAATTGAATAAAAATTGACAGTTAGTCGATTGTCAACCGTTACCAAGACGCCCCAAGGTGGTCATCCATGATTGCCAATAAGATAAATGCTCTATTGGGTAAGAATGTTGCCTTACATCACCAATTTATTATTATTTTCCCACTATATGCTTTGAATAATAATAATACTTGAACTACATTGAACTGCATTGAATGAAAATTGACAGTTACTGCATTTTGAATATAAATGCTAATTAGAAGATACTTTGAGATGAAAACTACCCCATAGAATAATTACAAATTTTTATTAGAACATCAAAACGTATTGTAGCAGAAGGGTGAGAGGATAGAGTTAGTGATTCTGAAGACTTTCTTCATCAAAGATCTTTATTTGACTGCGGGGTTCTTCGGCTCGAGAAGGTTCGACACCCCTCGCCATTGATGGGTTTAAGTGTTTTAGGTGTAAACAGTCGGAGACTGCCTGTCGCCTGACTGTTTACGTCGTCTATTCTAAGATCGCTTGCAATATTATAACAAATCTTGCATCTAGTGGTGCACTCCCGTGGCGTCTTCAGGGAGACTTGTAATTTCGGCTGTCAGAGGGTTAAAATGAATCTATCGCTCGCTGCCTGATTGTACTTTCTTCCATTGTTTACGATATTCACGCGCTGCTCTCGTTTCTCACGTAAAAATTTCATAGTCGTTTCTTCGAGTTGCCCTTTTGAAGCTGGGCCTTCTTTCTTAATCCGTGAGTTATTACAACTCCAGTTATCACTGCTACGTGCTCGTCGCTCACTCTGTATTGATTTATATCCACTAAATCGAGGGATGATTCAACATTCACCGATAGCGAGAGAATCGAGTGAGATTTAAGAGAGGACACTCGGAGAATGAGCAAACGCTGTCCGTAACCCCTGAATAGCGCCCTCGGAAGGAAATATTAAAACGATGGCACAAAGTTAATGCGGTTATTCGTAGTCATCGCGCCTCGGAGCTACGTAGGCCCGACTCGTTTTTATGTAAATACGTCGAAAATGTGGGTGGTAAAGAATACTATTAAGAGACGTATCTTCGTGAGAATTTTCGTAAACGTATGTATATTCCCTTTTTACCCGGGCCCGACATCCATCGCGACCGAGTCTCGCAACGAGGTCCACAGGCTCGTCCTGGAGCTGCAGGAAACTCGCGTGTCGTCTACTTTTCCGCTGCACCGCGTTCTCGTCTCTGCCTCGCGTTGCTCGAGGAAGCAGCGAGCCGAACGGCACGCGGAACCCGGAACCCCGGGAACAAGAAAGCCGCTTTTACTTCGACACCTCGAGGAGGACGCGTTCTAATTAGGATCACGCGTGTTCGCCTCTTGCACGGTTCAGTCTTGTCGGTAGTCGGTCCTTTCCGAAAGGCAGGCGAAAGAGCGAGAGCGGGGTAGAAGATACTCATCGTAAAGGCACCTAACACGGCCATGCCGAACTTGGAATTTCTCTCGTATAGTTGCGCATACATTAGGGAGCCTCTGGGTGAAACTTGCAGGGTAGTTTGCCTGCTAGCGAAAGGAGCGAGCTCTCGTTGGAGGGCTGCGAGGCGCGCGCGGCGTGCTGAAGGACGAGCAGCAGCACGGTGAGGCTGGGTCGAGGGTGTAAACCGCACAAAGTAATCTTACAGAATGTATATGCAAAGAGGTTCACCGACGTAGAACGGGGCGAGAGACGAGGGGCGGGGGAGCACAGCTTGCATGATCCCATCCGCGACAACACCGACAAGACACCCCCAGAGGCAAACTTACCTCATAGTTCGAAGACTCTTCGACCTTTCGCTGCTCGCTATCATCGTCTTTGCGATGCTTTTTATCCCGGTTACGAGACCGTGCTTCCCTCGTGCGCGAATTTAATCAATAAGCGCGGCGCGAAACCGGTAGAAGCTCGGCCGGCGATGATATCGAGGTTGAATTAAGGAAAGCGTTATGCACGCCGCTGAAATATCTCGGTCGTTCGTTCGACAGAGGTTGCTACGAGAGCTCGAGGCTCGTTATTAATGGCTTATTCGTTCTCGGCACGCCACAGATAGACAGATACGGTGGGGCCTAAAAGTAAATTGGTTTATGGCCTGTTCTCTTAATTAAACGGATCTAGTCGAACCGGAGTGGCAAACGATCGCGTTCCACGA